CCTCCCCCCACCTCCTGCCTAGGCCACCGTCAGCCACAGCAAGAGGAGCTGCAAAGTGGGAAGCCAGTGCCACACAAACCATCAGGTGTTTCTTCCCTCCCAAGGACACAGCTGGGCCAAATACCATGCCTGCCGGTGGTACGGGGTAGGGTATCTAAACCCCTGGTCTAGCCCGTCAGCTCAACTGCCTGGGGTGGGGAGTGGGCAGGCAATGGGCTTTCCCACAAGGGAGCAAGAGAAGCCTCCTAAGTTTGTGAAGGAACTCAGGCCCAACCCCACGATGAGCCTCTGAAAGGAAGGGGGGAGGTCTCGATCTGCTTTTAAAGGAAGCAGTTATTTACAACTTTCTATTCACTTGCATCCTGGGGAGAGAAGAGGGAGACGGGGAAAGGGGCTGAATGGTATTCTCCTCCTTCCTTATATCCAGCAATGAAAAGCAGCTGCAGAGAAAGAATTAAAAAAGCAAGGATGCTCCAGCCATTACCCCATCCCGGTGCCGGGGGCTGTTCTGGGGGGTCATGACAGTGCTGTCTGCTCTGGCCAGGGGCCACTCGGCTGCTTCCTGCAGCAGCTGCTGGGCCCCCCAAGCAATTTGCAAGGTCAATGCTGACCTGCTTCGGAAGAGGAACAAAACAATTCACTGACAATGAAGCAAATCGCGCATACACCACATCGCCACCTCCCCTCCCCAAATCAGGTTTTACCCCAGTGCCTGCCTGCCTTGATGCTGACTCGGGGCTCCCACCAGCCCCGCTGGGAAACCCAGGATAGCATCACAGCTGCAGATCATGCCTCGCCTCCCCGGCCAACCCAAGGAGACTCTCGGCACAGGGAGACATGCTATCGCTAGAGGAGACCTGAGCCTGGGGGAGGGGGAAGGAGGGACAGCTCTGTTTCTTACCAAGCGCCACAGTCACTTCCCCGAAGTGGAGAGAAGAAAAGGATGAATGAACTGAAACAAGTTTGAGGTTGAGCCCTCACAGAGCTCGGCTTCCTCTTTCC